GACTGCCTGTCGCAGCGAACATACAACATCACGGCCGTGTCGTTCACCCCCGAGGAGATCGTTGCGTCCATCCAGAAGGTTATGCCGAGCTTCCAGTGCGATTACAAGCCAGACTTCCGCCAGCAGATCGCCGAGACGTGGCCGCGCTCAATCGACGACAGCATCGCCCGGAGAGACTGGAACTGGCAGCACGACTTCGACCTGGACAGCATGGTCGAGGACATGCTCGTCAAGCTCGACGCCAAGCTGTCCAAACCGGAAGCTGTGGTCGAGGAGACTGCGTAATTCAAGGAAATAGCACAAAGTAGGTAACCACAACGAATACCTCGAATATATGACAGTGAAATGCGTTAGCTGTGAGACCAATGCGTCAGTGTGCTCGAGGACGGATCAACGTCTCCGAGATACTCCGAGAAATGCTATGCATTCCAGTGACAAGAACAAGAACGATACAACTCAAAAGTATCACTACAAGTATTACAGTACTACTATTGCAACAGTAGCACCAACATGACACGCGCATAACAGTACTAATTCTTCTACTGTCACAGGACATAATAGTACTTAAGAGTACTATAATAAAGTATTACTAAGTATACCTCGAAGTATTGAAGCTACAAGATGCCAGATCTACCGCAACCTGCTGAGTGCTTGTATTTCTTAAATTGCTGAGTTCTTCACGACACTGTCTACGTCCTCCGTGTATTCACTCGTACTGGATGACAAACTCGCCTACCTCGTCATCGCTGCTTCCGTTAGCTGCCTCACATAGTAGCGTTGAAGACAGGGTTGTGGCGTGCAATGCGCGGGCCTTCCTCTTCGTACTGCGCCTTAGTGTGGCACACACGGTAGAAGTCGGGAGTGGAAGCCACCATACTACCACCGAACCAAACAGCGAACCGCTGCATACGGTGCGACAACACATTCACCTCGAGAGCCTCGGCATGAGCCTGCTGGTACTTCGAGTGCAAAGCGAGATTGGCCGCCTGTCGCTCGTCAGCAAGACGCTTGATGTCGCGCTGCAGACGACGACCGAAGTCCTTGAACATCGTGCTACCACCAGAGAGCACAATGTTCTTGTACAGTCCACGTCGCGTGTCAATGGGGCACTTCAAGATCGCTTCATCCACCACATTGGGCAGCGGCGTTGTAAAATCCGTGGAGAAAATCTCTGGGTTGAAGAAAATCTCAGGAGCCAAGAAACGTTCGTATCCGACATCGATCTCCCATGGCTGCTTGGTACGTGGGTGCAGGTCCGAGTACTTCAAAAAGTATTTATCCGGCTTGGTATCATACTTTTTGAATTCCTTGACCAGATCCGAGCACACGTAGCTGTGTGCTTCCTTGACGCGCTTCGCGACCTCCAGTGA